CTTTTCCTACAAATTATAGGCTCCCAGAGTTCACCAAGTTCACTAGTCAAGACAGTACAAGCACAATAGAACATGTCAGTCGGTATCTTACACAATTGGGCGAAGCATCAGTTGAGGATGCCCATCGAGTTCGTTTCTTCTCCTTATCCCTGTCAGGGCCAGCCTTCACTTGGTTCTCGTCACTACCAGTCAACTCCATTGCCAATTGGGCTGACCTAGAGAAAAAGTTTCATACATATTTTTACACTGGGACTAGAGAAAAGAAGATAACCGATTTGACAACCATGAGACAGAGGACTAACGAATCGGGCACTAAGTTTCTTCAGAGATTCTGAGAGACTAGGAACTTGTGCTTCTCATTGAGCTTGGCAGATGATCAGTTAGCTGCTTTAGCCGTCTAGGGAATGCTGCCAATGTGGAAAGAAAAGTTGCTAGGGCAAGAGTTCGATAACTTGGTTCAGTTGGCTCAACGAGTAGCAGCGCTCAATAGCCAATTCCAGAGTATGCGTAGAGATACCCGATTCCAGAAGAGTACCACCGTAGCTGAAGCTTATGATCTATACTCAGTCGATGACGGCTATGAGGATGAAGAAGAGGAGGTTGCTGCAGCTGAATGGAATTGGGGTAAGAAGACAGTGATGGTGCCAAATCCTTGGGGAAGAGGAGTCGAGGAGAGCTATGACTTTGACGTCACGAAATCGGACAAGCTCTTTGACTTCTTACTTGAGAAGGGCCAGATCAAATTGCCGGACAATCATGTTATGTTGCCCCCTGAACAATTAAAGAACAAGAAGTTCTGCAAGTTTCATAATGCTACTTCTCATTCCACCAATGAATGCAGAATTTTCTGGCAGCATATACAGAGAGCTATTCAGCAAGGAAGGCTCAAGTTTGATACACCTCAGAAGATGAAAGTTGATGATAATCCTTTCCGAGGAGATCAAATATGGTTGACGTTGGGCTATTCAAAGAAAAAACTAAAGTTCTAACATCGGCTAAATCAAGAGAAGCTGGAACAGTTGATCCCAAGATACAAATATCGGCCGATGAATATAGAGAGATTAGAAAATGTCGTGATCAGCAAAAGAGCCGATATGAACAGGGGGAAGCGTCAAAGGATGGAGCGACAAAGCCGCGAGTTACATCTCGAATCTTGTTGAATAAGTGGCAGCGGCAGAGAGAAAAGGATTATCAGCGATGGTTAGAGGATCAAGAATACCAGCGTCAACTAGAAGAAGAGAGGTATGATAGGAGACAAGCCGAATCACACTAGAATTGTCCTTTCTTCAGATACTACTAGAATGAAGGTCTGAAATTGGCTACCAGACATGACTGTCCGGAATGCAGCAATCAATATTGGGAGTTTAGGCAATCTCAGATCAACCGCTGGTCTATCCATGCCTAGGATGCATATCACCATAATAACATGGATTGGCGCTTAAAAAATAAAAGTATTCATGATCGGCTGGGAAAAAGAGTTGTTGACCAAGACTGGGCTGATCATGAAGAAGGAAGCAACCAAAGAGAGCATGTTTGGCAGGAAAGCCAATGGTGCCCCGGAGGATTGATGAGGAGCCAAAAGAGAAGGGTGCAGCGCCTAAGGAATAGAGAGTTGGAACAGGCTCAAGTATCCGGTAAACCTCAAGTGTGGCATGCCAAGCAAACAGCCGATAGAAAGCAGCCATCGGCTAATATTCAAATGGCTTTTCTGTTGCCGTCAGAATTCAGAGCTCCAGTAGATCAGGAAATTTATTCAGACTTCGATGAATCAGAGTATGAAGAGATGGTTGCCAAGTTAACGGTTGTACAACAAGCAATATTTGATAAGCCAGTCAAGCATCGGCACTTGAAAGCGTTATATATGAAAGGTCTTGTTGATGGAAAGCTGATGAGCAAGATGTTAGTAGACGGGGGTTCTTCCGTCAATCTTATGCCTTACACTACTTTTCGTAAGCTTGGCAAGGGACCAGGGGATTTGCTTGAAACTGACATGATGCTTAGAGATTTCAGAGGGAATACATCCAAGACCCGGGGGGCAATAAACATTGAGCTAACAATCGGGAGTAAGACTCTACTCACCACATTCTTCGTCATTGATGGAAAAGGATCATACAGTTTACTCCTCAGTCGTGACTGGATTCATGCTAACTGTTGTGTGCCATCGACCATGCATCAGTGTTTGATTCAATGGCATGGAGATGATGTCGAAGTGGTTCATGTTGACGAGTCTGTGAGTATTGCAATAGCTGATCCAGTCTTTTGGGAACTGGGAGATTTCGAATGTTTCTCTGGCAAGACATGGGAAGGAGGCTTCATTAAAATCAGCAATGAGAACCAACAGCCGATGAAAGCGGCCGGCTCCGAGAGTTTGTTTTAGTAGAAAAGTCATAGCTTCATGTAGGCTGTTGGATCAAAGGAAAATGAGTATTAAGTCTTGGAGATGGGTTTAGGCCGACGTATGTGAAGGCTGAGTTAAAGTGTAAGTGCGATTCAGAGTTAATGGATTTCCTAAGAGAAGTTCTGTTTCGCTTAATAGGGCGCTTGACCTGGGTTGATTACTCTTCTGACCTTTTGTATTGAAAGTTCCGCGGGACGTTATCCTAGCATCTGATCAACACTTGGTAGCCGATTCATTCTCGGCTCTAATAGCCGGTACCAGGAGGGTATCGCCTCTAGTTCAAAAAAGTAAACATCTTCACAGATAGTAATAGCCGATATGATATGTATCGCCTATAGAGCGAAAAACAAAAGAGCAAGAAACATTCACAGTCATAAACAAGAGCATTGCATTAAGGCACATTCATGAAGGAACATGAGTCTTTGTTCATCAAATTACCCTAAATACAGACTAATCAAAGATCTTGTTCACCACATCCTGAGCGGATGTGATGTCTACTACGGCCTCCGCTGCAATAGTGAATTCTTCAAGCAGGTCCTCGTGCTCCTCAGGGCCGTCGCCCACAGGGAAACCTGTTTCCATGGCATGAAGCTCGTACCCCATTTGGACTTGTGCCATGGCGAGCGCCACCGCCGCACCATGACGAACGCCATGGAGGGTGATCTCCCGAATGCGGACCGGGACGTCTTGAAGACGAGCGTCGATGGAAGAACCCCGGGCATTGACAGCGTCTACGGCCGCATTTGCCGCCAGTTGAAGAGATTCCAACTGTGCTGTCAAGGCTGACAATCACGAGAACAAGAAGACGATCAAGATGAAGATAATGGAAGTCCGAACAAAAGCCTTCATGGGATTCATCTCACCCGCCACCATGGCGTCGGATTTGGCTAGCCGCGCTCGAACAGCGCTGGCCTCCTCCTCAACCGCGTGAAGGGCGGCCTGGGAAACCCCGAGGCAAATCTCTAGTTGGCCGTTCTCCCAAGTCGCCTCGGAGTAACGGTTTTGAGCCATCCTCCACTCATGAAGATAGCGCCAGGCGTCATCGCCGTTGTAGGAATTAGAAGAATCCGACGACGAGGCCGGCACAGAAGATGCGGCGTCAGAAGGCCCACCGACCCTGGGAAGGGGGCGAAGACTGTCATTCACAACAAACCTGTAGGTGAATCTGAACTGTTCATCATCATAAACAAGAAATGTCGATCTCACCTCATGCGCCGGAGACATTGATTCATCGGAATAGTCTCTTCTGGGATTTCCTCCGCCGCGCGCTTGCCTCGGTTATCTTCGCCGGCCATGAAGAACGATTGGATCTACGAAAAGGAGAAAGAGAACTGCTATTGGGTTTCGACAGGCGGAGAAGAGCAGAGAAACAGTTGCGAGTAAGGGTGTATTCGAAGTCGAAACCACCAGCCGGTATTTAAAGACCTGAAGCAAAGGGACGGACGTCTCGGGACGTGTAAAAGGCAACAACAATTAATGGAAGGCGAAGCGCCGCTTCACTAATGTCAATGGGAATACGACGCTGAGCAACTGAAAGGCAAGAAATCGAAGGGTTCTCTTAATAAAAGCCTTGTTTTCAGACTTGATTAAACTAAGGACCTGGATCGGCTGTATTAAATCGACTCTTTAGCCGAAGAAGGAAGCATGAGTAAACAACGGAGAATATGATCGGATCTACACAAGATCAGCGATGACATGCAGATTTCAAGTTTAGGACACCATGGGTCGCTCTCGGTATTTCTAGTCAAATGACATCAGCTCCCACAGGCTGTTGACTTCTCCAGCTGATCCAGAAGTGCTCTCGAAGACACACTTATGACGACCAAAAGGCTGGACAGCCAGTATGGTCGCCTAATCAGGGTAAACCTTGTCGGCTCAGACATTGTGCGCTTGGTACATTTTGGAGATGCTGGGAGGAGAAGAAGGATTCAGCAGATCAATGGGAAGTATTTGAAGGAATATTACCAATTCGCTCGACTGACAACTCTAATAGCCGATACCAGAAAGGTATCGCTGCTGGTATGAAAGTAGACCCAGAAGAGTAAAAGCCGGTACTATGCGTATCATCCATGGAGGCAAAGCAAGCATAAATAAAGTAATACGCATAGTGCCAAGACTGGAAAAATATCTACTAAATGTCGCCTTTTACAAACTACGGGCCGAGGAAAACCTTGCCTACTATATCATCGACCAAGGTATTAAAAGCTATAGAATTGGCGACACTCATGAAGTCCTCAACCAAGCGCTCCTGCTCCTCAGGGTATGCTGCATCTAGAAAACCATGGGGAAGAAGCTGAAGATTTTGGCCCGAACGGGCTTGGGCGGCAGCCAACGCCGTAGCAGCGCCATGACGAACGCCATGGAGGGCAACCTCCCTGACATGATTCGGGATGTCATGCAAACGAACCACCGAAACGGCGCCCCTGGCATTGACAAATCCTGTCGCATGATCCGTAGCTGATCGAAGGTTCTCTAATTGGGCAGATAGATGTAAAAGATTCAAAGGGGACCGTCGAGAAGTACTACTCCCACATGAACGACGAGTTCGCCGTGAGGGACAAAAGATGATGGTGCCTGACCGAGCTGATTGTCATCAAATGCCTCAGGCACTTGGTGGAGGACTAGGAGATGCGGTGGCCTGAAACGGTGACGCGTCGCCGCTCGCGGCCTCCTCCTTCTTCTCCTCGCCTGAGGCCACGCCACCTTCTTGCTCGCCGCCGCTGGATGCCCCGTAGTCCTCCTCATCGCTCACCAGATCGACAAGGCCCCCGTCGCCGGGGATGCCGAGGGCCTCACGATTGAGGGTGATGAAGAGTGCCCTTGCAAACTCCTCATCGCCGCTTGTGCCTGGATGGGCGAAGATGCGTGGAGCAGAAGGGCTAGCTTCAGCAGGAACGGCGGAGGTGGGGACATCGAGGGCAGCCAAACCCTCTGACTCATCGTCAGAGAGTTCGATCACTTTCTTCGCCGCCGACGTGCTAGACTCCGGCAAGTCTAGGAGCTTGATGGGTGACTCGCTGATGGCAGAATCGGCGCTTGCGGACACTACTGGCTCCTCGGTTGGCTCCACCTTCACAACCATAGCCTCCCCATGATAGGGGAGCGCTGGGACCGAGGGTGGGACCACCGAAGGAGCGGATGACGACGTTAGTGCTGGTATTGCTAGGGTCACTGGCAACAGCGCTGGAGATGGAGACGATGGTGTTGAGGGAGGTGGAGGCAATAACCCACCGGACTGGCCGGGAGAGTCCCCAAGAAGTAGTCTCAGAATCTTCGAGCGATGGCGGCCGGCGGTCTTCTTCCTCATGTTAGATTGTGCTAAGGGGAGGCGATTGCCAGTCTAAGTACCCAAGACCCTAGTTAAATAGGATCCTGGTTTGGGTCACATGAAGAACTTAATCGCCATCCCTGATTAAAAAACTAAAATAAATCTGCGCCACGCGCAATTCTTAGGAGTCGAGCCGATGCTGCCACTCGAGTGTCTGACGACTGCGCGCCACCTAACATGCGTGGAGAACGCGTTGACAAGACAAGATGACCCAGGCATGGCATTGTTTATTCAAAGCTCATCTACCAACCGTACAACTCTTTGACTTCCAATCGTCTGCTTTCCTGGTCAAGGGTGGACACTTGGAATTTTCCCGAGTTTCGAGTCCAAGCACCAGACTTGGGAAAGCCCGAGCATAAGAAGGTGTTAGAGTATAGTTGGCAGACAAGCTCGAGGGCTACTGACGGTGCCATACACCTAGGTACCCTGACCACGGGATCTGCCGAGTATAGAGTCCAGATCAAAGAAGACCCAATGGCCCATGACGCCCAATTCAAGGAAGGATATCCTAGGATTGCACCAAAACTCTAATTAGCGCACAACTTCTTAGCTTGTGGGGCAAGTTGATCTCAGATATAAATAGCTGGGTAGACCCCTTGTTGTGATCATCAAATCTCTCATAGGCATAGCCACATTGTACTTGTGATCTCGCCGAATACAGAATGCAAAGCAGTAGCAGCTAGACGTAAGGCTTTTACTCGCTTCTCGGGGCCCCGAATGAGTATAAATCTTGTCTCCATCTGTGATTGATCTTTGCACCAAGCAGGGTTCTCCAAGAACCAAATATCTACCGGTCTAAAACACCGACACTTGTGTTTTGCATATCCTGTGTTCCAAAGGGGCTTAATCTGTGTGCCTTATTGTTCATCATCGAACTCAAGTTTGATTCCTTGCAATCTGAGTATTGGCATTGTGCTTTCCTTAGTTTTCTAAGTGTACAGTTTGGCTTTGTTTCAATGCATACATGGTAAACGTTAAAATTGTGTGCCTTATTGTTCATCACCATATCATACTGAGGTCTCCGGGTGGTAATAAGACCCAGCCACCGGTGATGGTACCGTGCATTCACCGCCGCTTAGTTGCAAAATTTCTAATCCCACAATTGAGCCCTCCCGTGCGGAATTACAAAGTTATGATGAAATTTGAATTCCCGCGGCTCGTAAAAGTTACGCAGCCCACCCACAACCCATTTCTCCCCCTCCCCTCCACACACATACCTTTTCTCATCCTCATTGCTGCTGTTCCTCAGCATCGCTCCTGGTCACCACTGCTCAGCGGCGACACATGCCGTACTCACCTCTTTGCAAGTTGCCACTCACCGGCGGGATAGCTGTTGCTCCGCGCCGGTGCACATCACCAATTTGCCCACACAGATACACAGGCGACTGAGCTACTACTATCACCAGCGTTGCCACTCATGGTCACCGTCGCCAGATCTAAAGGCAAGTGTAATAATCCCTTACTTCCATCGCCATCCGTTCTCGTCGAAACTCATCTCGTTAGTAATGTTGTTTATTGATGCAATTCCATGGCAGGGCGGCCTCATCTCTTTGGCGGGTCATGTCCTGGCTCTTCCAGATGAAGGAGGCCCCCAACAAGAGGAACACAGTGGGTAGCCTCACAAATGATGTGCTTGTCGACATCCTTAGCCGCCTCCCGGCTTCTTCTATGGAAGCTGGTGGAACGGCAAGCGCCACTTCACCAGCATCACCGGTGAATGGCCCTCCTTTTCCTTCTTGCCCTTCCCCGTTGACAAAGTCCTAGTCTCAAATTGCTGCAGCGGCTTGATCCTCTGCTGGTGTGTTGGGCCTGATGGATTATGTTGCTATGTTGTCTGCAATCCGGCGACTGAGAAATGATCTTCCACAGAGCATCCGCTCTGTTGGTCAGGCTCACTTGGATTTCAATCCAACAATGTCCACGCACTTCCATGTGATTGAATTTGTGCAAGAGGAGGGTGCGTGCATAAGTGTGGAGATCTATGCATCTAAAACTGTAGCATGGATCTTTATGGAATCTGAATGGGGCGAGGGTATTGTACTACGTTCAAAATTGAGAAGTGTTTTTCTTAATGGTTTTATGCACATGCTTGACTACACTGTGATAGTTGCTGTGGGTACGGAGGGAAAGACATGGAGGACAATTCCTAAACCACTTGGTGCTGAAATGTCCATCCATCAAGCTTAGGGTCACTTGTGTTTGTGTTGTGCTAAATTTCACAATATGTCCAGCTTTCAGTGTGGATACTGGAAGACTATGGTACTACTAAATGGAGATTAAAGCATGTTGTGAGCACGCAGGATACTGGAAGACTATGGGACTACAGAGTGATTACAACTCACCCAGAATAGAATTTGATTTTCTTTGTTGGTGAGGATAGAACACTGATTGCATATGACATGGACCACAGAAAGGTTCATGTCATCCATGCTCGTGTCATATGCTTTCGTAGACCAGGAGGCTGTCTCCATATGAATAGGCCTTACTATCTTTCTTACATTCCCTTGTTCATGGAGTCACTAGCAGAGCAATAAAGGTGCATTTGTTGTATTCCATTGTTATGACATGCCTTTGTTCAGGTAGGGAGTTGTTTTGATTCTTGTTGGTATTTCTTAACGTATGCAAAAGAATCTACAAGTGCATGGATATGCTGTTGTAGCACTTTACCCGGAAGTATTTAGGGTATCATATTTTCACGAGGAACGGAGGTGTAAAAATCTCTTAGCTAGTTCACCAAAGATAACAAGAAGGAGAGTTGCTTGAGTAGTGAGGTTTTCTAAGGATAGAGATCTTAGGTTAAGATAGCTTTGGTCACTATAAACTTACTTCGGGCACCGGATATCACCTGGTCTGCCAAGCAATGCTGGCCTGTAGCTCTACGCCAAACCCAAACTTGGGGGATTACAAGGGACGAACATGGCTATCACCACCTGCCGCCTACCTCTGAACTATGGGGAATGAGGCAAACAAAGGTATCTTCTAGCTTAGACACCACGTCTATGCTATTGTTTACTACTCTAGCGTTGGCCAAGAACTTTCGTCTCTATTAGGAGTCCTCTACTAGAGTATTCGTTACTAGAACGAATGACAAACCCGCAAGTATGTAGTAAATAAGACTAACTTACTTAAGAACTCACCACCGAAGAAGAATGCGAACTCTTTACTCCAAATAGCAAGATGTTCGTTGAGGTACAAGCTCGAGTGATCCGACAACTCCAGAACTTCTCTTGCTCTTTCTCACTTACTCCCTATACTAATTCTAGCTAAGAAGCTAAGGTAGGAATGTAGCTTTTCTCTTCTTCCCTTCTCTTCTGTAGTGTGTTGAGTGAGGGAAGCTCCCTCCTCCTTTTATAGTGGTTAGGAGGTCGGTTTGGGGAGGAATATATGGGGAATCACCACAAATCGCCCTCCTGAGTTGATGGAACCGCCATGCATGAGATGGGCCCGAGATGCAGTGATAGGAGGTGCGGCCACCCCTGGGTAGCTCCGTCCCCCGCCCGCCTTTGGCTGGCGGGCTGCTTGATGGGCCTAGGCCTCATCCCCACATGCGTGGAGTCCAATTTCGTTAGTTATTGTACTTTCTCCTTTGGTGTTTGAGCCCATGCAAGTGTATGGTGTTGCCTTCTTCTATTTCTTGATTTATTTTGAGCCCCATCTTGATGTGTTTTCACAATTGTCCTTTGCAAATGAGTAAATCACCAAAACTCATGGAAATTATTAGTTGTAAACCCTATTAGTAGGTTCGGTGCTCATTTGAGTGGATTTTATGTAGCAGTTGGCGGTTACAGATATGAGTTAAGGACCGCCAACATGCTCCCCTACACTTAGTCCTTTGCTCGTCCTCGAGTAAAGTTTTAAGGACTAAGATGGTTCATCTCCTTGATATGTAATCTGCATACAAGTTATTCCAAACTTCACCTGAACCTGCGAACTTTTGAGTGTCTACCAAAATATCTTGGGTAATTGAATAATGGAACAGCGTAGAATCAAAATCTCCTTACTTCAATCTGCTCAGAAACTCGGGTTTTTTAATCTGATTTTGAAAATGTAAATATAACTTTGCTCCTCGAATGATTCTCTCAAATCGCTCGAAATTTGTGTTTGGTTCCTCACCAAGGCATTTTTCTTTATGTTGCCTTCTGTTCATCCTACTTCTCAAAGCTTATGTGGAGCTTAGGTAGGTATGAAAGAGTGTAGCACACTTACCGTGTGTATGTTGTAAAATCAAATCCTGGATCCAAGGAGAGAAGTGTCATTCTCTTAGATAAAAATGTGCATGTGTGTGGATCATGGCAAGTGGAAAATACTCCTTTGTTTGATATGATCTTTTTCTCTAACTTTTTATTTTAAGACATGGCTATCATCATGCTTTATTTTTTTTTCTATGAGCCTTCATGTGCTCACATTTTTTTCTTTTTTTAACTCTTAGGAATTTCATGTGTCCTCTCTCTTTTTTTCAATACTTGGGACCTTCATGTGTCCCTATATATTTTTTTTCAATACTTTTTGCATAGCCTTATGTCTTATTTGCTACATCATACTTTAGAGAGATCATATTTCTAGAGCATGGAGCATTTATTTGGTGGAAATGAGAGGCATGTTTTTGCGCACTTCTAGTGTAGAAGCAGCATATATATGTGGCGTGTACGTGCTTTTGATCTTGGGAGCTTGATAAATCTCTCTACAAGGGTCACAGGACTTGACAAAACTCATCACAAAGTAAGTAGCTTATGTAGAAAGGTTAAATCGTGTAAGATCTTGTATGGCTTTGGTAGGAATTTTCATCATTTGAGGAGCATGCTATTTGAATTTTGTTTTTTGAAAAAATAAATCCCAAGTACTCTGCAAGAAAGAGTAAGGTTCTTTTTCATCCCACTATATCACATACATCAATTACTTAGATATCATGGGTTCCCTATGATAGAATTTGTTCACAAGTTTGGGAATATTAGTAAGGAATAAAGAGTATGAAAACTTTA